CTTGTTATTTTTTGATCACACACCCTATTTTCTATATAAAAGGCAAGAGATATATTGACGCGGTAGTATGTTGTGATTAGTGTGACTTCTATGACTGAATGAGAGATGTTGTTTAAAATTAGGAATGTCCACAACACAATTTATAAAAAGATACAACTCTTTGTGAGTTTATAAAAGATAAACTATTTGTAAAAAGACATGATTTTTTGTGAGCCTATAAGGGAGAAAAAAATTGCTTCTATTTAAACAAAGAAGAAGATGACATACATAAAATAATATACTACCATTCTCTCTTTCACGTTGAATTAAACCATAAACAGACTTGAGTTTTGGAGTGTGAAAATTACCCAGAACTCTAGTAGCATATGAGAAAAATAGAGACAGTCAAGAGCATCAACAATTAAGAATCGTTCTCCTTGGGCAGAAAAGCGAACATATTATCCTATTATTTTCGCACTAAGATCTATATTAATTTACCTACATATTGCATATATGATATTTAATAGACAATTATTAAAAGATTTTTTTAGCACAAACTATATTTTTGATTTATTGATGTTGGTACCAATTAATTGTTGATATATTTCAATGCCATTCATGCATCTATATGGACGAAAAACTTGATAAAACACATTGTATATAAGTAAGTATATTATATCAAGAATTATGATAAACAATTTATTGAATTCGATATTAAATTAAAACTAATTTATTTTGAAAGTGATTGTAAAATGTAGATACTTAAAAAAAAATGATAGAACATGTTAATAAACTTTAAGGATTGGTATTAACCTTTTGAAGGGAGTTAAAATGATCAAGATAGAACAAGTAATATAAATGCCTACTATGTTCAAGGGTGTATAAAAGTCACACATGAATCTCAAGTCATTAATGAGGGTTAGCCCTTTTTAGGAGGTTTGTGCAGTGATGGAAGTTCAAACTCATATTATGTTGTTGTTTTTATGGCTGGGAAGGCGAGGATCTTGTAAAACAACCACGGTTCTCTTTTTCCACGGTGAGTGAGGTTCTCTCTAATAGCATTAATAGCTAAAATTGGTAAGAAAGCTAATAGGTGGCTTCTAGTTCTAATGGAGGCGAGGGTAAACCACTGTGTAACGATTGTTAATGATCTAAAATATGTAAGGATGTAACGGCCTCGGAAATTTAAAATGAAATGTGTATTAAAAATATCAAATGCGGAAACGAAGTTAAAAATTCGATTAATATCCCTTACACTAAAACCAAAAACGTGCTCACAAAATATAAAAGATCAAACTACCTAAAGGAAAAACTCGAAAGTAAAAGCTACGAATATGACTATGGAGTCTTTAGGCGTCCCCTTCGTCGTCCTCCTGCGGAACGGGCTCGGGAACAATGTCTTCCTGATCTGAAATGATTAAATAAGGAATGAGCTACACTAGCCCAGTAAAGACATCACGATATCTCACCGTCACGGAGGTAAAGGTGGGTAGAAAACACAAAAAGACCAATGGAGCATAATTTACAACAAATTCTTTTATCAATAATAAATCCTTCACCATCCACTTACCTCGGTGAAATTCATAAAACAGTATACGAAAGCAATAACATTATCATCATCGTGAAATCATATATAAACTGTATAACATAATACTTATCACGCCTTTTGTAATTCAATCATTACACAACATATTTTCCTCATTTACCAGCCCACTAGTATCCATGGGGATCCATAGGGGTCCCGCTACCCGTTAACCCTTAATACTTGAAATCAGATTCCAGGGCCGTCCCCATACCCCGTCCGGTATGGGCGCCAAAACTATAAACCCCATTACCCCGTCCGGTATGAGGGTGAAACGGGTCATCCCCATACCCCGTCTGGTATGGGCGCCAAAACACATAAGGTCTTCATACCCCGTCCGGTATGAGAGACCACAATCCCGGTAGGGTTCCCTACGGACCCGGTCCGTCCACCATCTCCCAGGATATCTGGTCAGGCTGACCACATTATACAATTTCCAATTTACATAATCTTTTATTCTCTTTTTCCTTCAGTCAGCATCATCAATTCACATACAAACAAGCAAAACAGTAATTTATGCCAAACAGACAACATACAGCATCAATATCCCAGTCATTCATTCCATAATCAATAAAAACAGTAAAATATGCACACGAAACTATAAAATAAAAACATCAAACCTCATACTGCATTTAAAACTGTAAAATAGGCCAAATAACAGTTAACCGACAAACACACTAGACTCGGGCTCCATTAGCGACCTTAAGTAATTTCACACATTCGTTGATTCAAGAAATACCGTTTTATCAATATTGAACTTTAATACCGTGATAGGAAATAGGGTGAGGGGTCCTTACTCGTTTCGGGGTCCGAACACGGCTTCACAGTCGCCTACAGACTATCCCTAATTTTTCCTGAATTTTTCCTGGGGAACTGAAATGCACTACTGGTACCTGCACGTGTTCCAAAAAATCCCAAATTAGGCCCAGGACCCCTTTTTGGCCAATATCGCAATTCCGGCACGGCGGCTCTGCCGTGCTCCGGCGACGCGGCGGCGATTCGCTTCGGTTTGGCCGTTTTCGGCCGAATTCGGCCACACTTGCATCGGTCCTTGCGATAAAACAACCCTAGGGCCCTCGGGGGGCCAAAAAATTACGAAAAACTGAAGCTTACCGGCGGCGGTGCTCTCGGGTGCGGCGGCTCTCCGGTGAGGTTCGTGTTTTGGTGATTCGGCTCCGATCAACCTGTAGAGAAAAGAATGGTGATCACGATGATATAAAAATTGCATCAAACGGAGGCCGGGAAGGGCCTCATCGGAGGCAAAATCTGAGGGTTTCGACCGTGTTTTCCGGCTGTCTGGCCGGGATTTTGGCTCCGATTTGGCCACAGGGGAAATCAACATGGAAAAACGAGTCGGGGGTATGAAATTTACCTCGATCAGCGGTCGAAAATCTCCCCGGTGCGGCGGCGGGTGGCGGCGGCCGGCATCTCCGGCGTCTGGTTCGTCTTCTCCGGCGAGGGCAAGCGGCTAGGGTTTTTGTGGTCAGGTGTGGGGGTTCTATTTATACCCTTTTGCCTTTTGATCTCAGCCGTCCATTTTGATTTAATCTGGGTCGTCCGTTTTTGATTTAATTTGGGTCGTCCGTTTTTGATTGAATCTGGGCCGTCCGTGCGATTGCATCTGGGCCGTCCGCGCATACTCTTGATCTGGGCCGTCCGATCGCGCGTACGCAGATCGCCAACGTGGCCCGTCCCCGGTCGACGTGGTTTTGCCACGTGGCAGGTCCTGGTTGGCCAGGACTGTTGACTGGGTCTGCTGACGTGGCTGCTGACGTGGCGTTTGTTTTTTTTTTTTTGTTTTTTTAAAACCTAATTAAAATATTTAAAATAAAATAATCAATTTTTTTTTTCATATTTTTCGGGCGTTACAAAGGATGTATAACTTCTTTTGTTTTATTCGATTAAGTTCTTCTAAGATTGAAACTTTTCGTTTTGGATTGGATTTGTGAGAAAATTTAGAGTTCTTTAGTTTGTATTTAATATAAAAGTGGAAGAAGGTAGAAATAGAAGTTAAATTCTAATAATAATTAATGCCAAATTAAACAAATTTTGTTTGATGTATAGTTAGAAATATAAAAAGTTTAGTTAAGAAATAGAAAAGCAAAAGAAATATGGAGAGAAATAGATTAAATAGGATACATTAACTCGAGCAACAATAAGAAGAACAAAAACATTTAAATATACAGATAATAAAATTTTAACAAGTAATTAATATGAAAAATTATAAAAAATAAAATAAAAAATTCTAATTCCTCTATCCATAAAAATCTAAAAGATTATAATGCTTAAATAAGTATAAATAACTCAAAAATACAAGACAATAATTATTACCAATACATTATAACAAAAAATTAACCCACCTAATCAATCTTCTTTACTAACTATAAATAAAATACCAACACTTCATCTTCCCATTTACCATCAACAAATAAATGATTTGTTTAAACTAAATTATTTATAATATCTAAAATATATAATAAAAATAATTTATTTTGATTGATGTAAATATTAAGTGAATAATTCAATAAAATATTTAATTAAATTCAATCACTTAATTACAAAATTGTTTTTTTTTTTTTCCGTTTATAAAAAAAAGGGAAAAAGAGAAATGAGAGTAAATGCGGAGACGCAGGGAGGTCTAGAACAGAAGCGTAAGCAGGAGAAAGAGATGGCATCTTCTGTGGTGAAGAACGTGTTGAAGGCGATTAAAGAGAGAGGTCTCGGCACCTTCATAAGGGAACTCAGGGAAGAAGGCTACACGTAAGTGTTCTTCCTCTCTTTTTTCTCATTTCTTTCAATATCATTCTCAGTTAAAAATCAATATAGGTTTTATCCTCTATTTGGTCCCGAGAAAACATAGGAATGGAAATTAAAACATCTTTTATCGTGCTTTTGTTCAATCAGTTTGTTTGTACTCAATCCCCTCTGTTTTGGGGATTCCTGTGCGTTTTAGCTTGCGTTTAGGCCAATGGGGAATACATCATGATAGTCTTTGTTGCTTACTGATAGGTTTGATTGCTGCAACTAATTAGGGGTATGAATAAAGAAGATTGAGATTTGAAGGAGTGAA